GTAACTATTAAAATAAAGTCACAAATATGGTCCATTGGTCCATGTTTAACTATAATTATGGAAATGCTCCATGTTTAACTAAATATTCAGAAATCCATGTTAATTAAATAAGAAAAGATTTAGAAGTATAATGCTAAAATGGGGAATTTTTTCAAAGTAGATTGGTGAAATAGATTGAGTTTTAATGTACAATGTTGAAATGGTACGTGTTTATAAAAAAAAACAAAGATAAACAGTCCAATTAAAAAGCTGAAAGCACAATGTTGCTATAAAAAGAAATATAAGTAGGATGCCATTATACACAAATCAGTAAATGTACATTGTTATTTCTTGCATCCCATGGCCAATTTTTATAATCTCATGGTCATACAGGGACTGTTTCTGTGGAAACACACACATACATAAGATTATAAAAGTGTATTTTAAAAGTAGAAAAAAGTACATTGTTATAATATACATTGTTATTAAATATAAACATCACAAAAACTACAATGCTATTTTTTTCATTTATTTTTTGTGAATACTTTGGAATGGAATGGTTCATTCCATAGGAATGAAAAATGACTTGTTTCTTTAGGATAATGGAATGGAATGAACCAATCTGTTTCGTTTACCGATTTCATTCTTTGAGGGGTTTTTTCCTTCAATTGTCCCAAGATGGAACACACCAAAATAGCATTGTACATATTTCTGAAAAATTTTTGTACTTAATCAGTACACAAAAACATCACCTAAAATGAAGTGATATTTTTTCATTTATTTTCTAGAAAATGTTTGGTATGCTAGAATTTGGAAAGGAATGGGAAGGTTCATTAGCACAACGGAATGAAAAAGAACTTGTTTGATTATCCCAATGGAATGGAATGGCCCAAGCCTTTCCTTTTACTGATTTCATTCCTAGAGGGGTGTTTAGAAATTACCTGATGGTAGAAATCTTCAAATGTTACCGAAAAATGAATCTTCAAACCGATGGCAGAAAGTGAATGGAGAAGAATGTTAAAATCAGACAATAAGTGAGTATAAGAAAGGAAGGAAATGGGTTGTCGTATCAAACTTTATGATAAGATTGTATATGCTGATTTATTGCCTAATATTGCTCAACTTCAAATAATATAATAATTTTTTGCTAATTTGTTGGATATTATCATTGTGTCTAATTTAAATTTAAACTCCTAATGTTAAGGAATGGATTTAAGAAGGAATAGATTGGAATAGGCTGAAAAGGTATTTCCATATGATATTAATTGTGATATTGGAGATGTCATACCATCTAAATTTTTTGATGTTTGAATTTAATATGAATATGAATGGTATGATATTAGATATGTTTATACGAATTGTATCATTTTTTGGTTCCTTTTTTTTGTAGGGATTCTCATTGATTGATATAGCAATTTAAGTATGATAAGGGTAAGTGGTTAACGGATTGTATATGTGGAAAAAATGCTCGTGTTAATTACATATGACCATATATACTTCCCAATACTTTTAAAATTGTTGTTTAAAAAGTATTTGATTAAGGAATGACTTATACACATTAAATGCATGGAGGGTATATTAGTAAAATCACTTTTGGCTGAAAACTAATGTGGAAGAGGCATGTGGAGAAGAATGATTCTTTTATAGATCAACTATGCTTAGGAAACTCTTGAAAGAAATTAGAATGAATGTGCAATCTATTAATACTGTTGAGATTTAATATTCAATTCATAAGACCAATATTAAGATGACCTTAAACATTTAGTTTACAATGTGATAGTGGTTGAATGGTGTTAATATTATGCATAATCTAAATGAGGGTATGACAGAGGCAAGTCGGCTCCTCCATTGCAGTTGTCAAATTCTTTCCAAAAATGTCGGTTCATAAATTATTGCCATGTCTGCTCCAATGAGTTCTGTATGTGGAACATGTTGACTTTTGACAAACTTGAACCTTGCCTCATCCAGTTCCTCCTCTTCTCTAAATTTGTTATAAACCTTTAATAAAAAATCAAAATCCACAACTTTGTGTTGTTTATTGTATGTTTGACAATATTTTAGAACTTTGGAAGTAACAATTGTTTATGGTTTACCTGTTTCATTAGAATATTCAACAGAAGCTGCTAAATCATCACGATTTCCAAAGTTTTCTCTTATTGTACCTGTAATGGTTTTTCTTACAAACGTCATGCTTAAAACCAAGAAATTATGAAGAAAATATCTGAATTATGTGTTATAGCTTTAAACTATCTATTGGAGTTCAAACTTATATTAAATTTGTATGGGAGTCAGCATAGAATTTCATCTGTTTTATCTTAAATTTGTATTGGGACTGTTCTTTTATATGTTATATTGTTCTTATTCAAAAACTTTGAGGAGAATACAAAGATATACAAAGAACTGGTGTACAGTGGACCTTGACCTTGAAGGTCAGACGAATAGATGAATTATAACTGAAAAATCATTCAATTGCATTAAATTACATTGAGTGTTTTCCCTAATTTTTAAGCCAGCTCCCTAGAACACATTAAGTTAGGATTTCAAATACACATACGGAGAGTTTCCTTTTCAACCTCACTATAATTGTAGAGATAGGGCTGTCAAACACATAAAATTCCGCACAGATTAACGCTCATGTTCACTAAGTTAACACCATTTGATGGTAAAGAGCTTATGATAAGTAGACCTAGACTGTAAAGCTTGAAACGTTCTTCAAATTTTGGAGTTTCTTCATTTAAATTTGTACATAGAAAAAAAAATATGCCTGAAACCAATCATATTCGTCAATGAAGCCTTCAGATAGAACAGAACATAATAAACATGTTAAGATAACCAAAGAAAAATTTCCAAAAAGGAATTAGAAATCAACCAGGTTTGTAGAAGAGAAACAACCCATAATCATTGTGCATACAACCTGTGAATAAGGTTAAAAGAAAGATCGATAAAAGAAACAATAGAGGAAGATGAAGACAAGTAAAAGAAATTACATAGCATGGTCAATCGGAGAGGATACAACTTATTACCTTTTGTTATATTAAAGTTGAGGATGAAGCCAAACTTCAACAAATAAACAGGAGATGAACTTGTTTTCTTGTTCTGTTGTTCATAGAACCCAAGTGGTCAAGGTTTGAAAATGAAAATATGAAGTTAAAATCGAACCCAAAAAATCTACAAATACACTAAAATTAAAACACATGCATCTGGTCAATATTACACAAACATCCCAAAATTTGAACCTTAGAGTTTTGCGCCCATCGATGAATAAAAGAGAAACTCAGAGGGATTACTAAACATAGAAAAGAGGAGAGCGGTCATTGATGAGTTTGTCGGTTTACGCTATTGCGAAGAGCAGCAACAAAAAAACCATGTTTTTGATACATAACTCTACACCAATGATGGAAAGAGACGGAAAAAAGAGCGAGAACAGGAGGTGGGAAGAAGAAATCAGCTTCTTAAACTGATGAAGGTATAAGTGTTTGTGTGATTTGATTTTCAAAATGAAAAAGCTAAACTGGGTAGATAGCCGTGATATGGGACAAGAACATATCCAAAATTTACGGGATTTATAATAGCATAACGTAATTAAGTAACAAACTTGCAAAATTTTCGGATTCAACAGAAATTGATGAGAAATTGGAATGCAAGGGTAATTTGGGGAATTCATATTCATCATATGAGCGGGAAAATTCTATCGGGGAGGTCTATAAATCTTCTTATTTATTATTTATTAGGTTATAACCCGTGGGCACCACGGATAAAAAATTTTAAAATAATTTCGATTAAATTATAAATTAATTATTGAAAATTGATAATAAAATCTTTACCAATTGATAAATGTATATATTTTGTAAGGAATATGATAATGACATTATTATTTGTTGAAATTAACGATAGTTGTTTGAATATGTAAGTATAACTTTTTATTTTTTCTTCTCTCTCTAGCGTTGTGGCATCCATGTTCTTGTTTGATATATAATAAAAAATCAAAAATAATAAAGTAAGTTAAAGAGTAAAATTAATAATTTGAAACTAAGGGTTACATACGAATGGTGGCTCCTTTTAATTGACGAATTGAATAATAATCAAATAGCAAATAAATGATAGTTGTAAATCATGTGAGCAATATATATATTATTTGTCTTTAATTTTATAACGTGTGATTATAATTAATATTCAAGATGCTTTGATTGTTTAAGTATAAATTAATTAAAAATATCCATCTTGTATAATGATATATAAATTAAAGTGACTTATAAAATTCGTTACCATAATACATAAAATGATATTATTAAATTTTAAATGACCCATTCAGTTATAGTTAAATAAATAAAACATTTATAAAAACATTTAAATTATTAATAATTCGAAATCGTAATATATAAATCCAACACAATCAATTATAAATTAAAATGATATATGTGATTTACTAAAATTAAGTCATTGTTATACGACAATATGACAAACTGAATAGATTGAAAAAACAAAAACAATCATTCATAAAAATGTTATTGTTATATGACAAAGTATAAAATAAAGTAATGTAAGAAACATATATATGAACAAAATAAAAATAAATTACAAACAAAAATAATGAATAAAAAATAAATAAGTAATGTTTTAAATATTGAATTAAAAATATAAATGCTTAACAATTTAAATGGATGTACAAAGTATTAGTTGAAGTTAATAGAAAATTACATAGAAAAATATTATTTCAAAACAATAAAAATTAGAATAAAACATGATAATATAAAATTTTCAAATAAAAATATTCATTACGGTGTAATTATGTTATCCTTACAAACCTAACATTTTTACAATTCAAAATATTATATATTTTGGTTGTTATTAACCTATGATACTTATGTTGATTCTCAAAAGAATGTGTTATTCACTTTACTAAACATAAACATGTTATATCTACGTTTTAATAAAAAAAAAGTAATAATAAACTAAAAATTTAACAATAAACATGTATATATTTTAAAACTACAAGGGGCAAAATTGAATTTTGGTAAAAGATGAATGAAGGTTTCTTTCAACACAAAGCCACAGTTGCCACGACACATCATCTCGTTAATTGTTTTCCTCGGACGATTGATTGTCTTCTAACACTACTGACGGTGACAATAGCTTTCTCCGGCAACCTTAAGGTATGTACCCGCTCGCTATGTACATAGATATAAAACTTAAGATCATATGCATTAATAATTTGTTTTTCTTGATTTACGCTTTCAACGGTTATTTAGGGATTTAATCGAGAAAATCATCAATTCTGGATTTATAGTTTAACCTAACCATCAAATAGAACTGTTTATGCAACCGGTCGAGTTTAGGATTTGCTGATGTTGTGTATACAAGCAATGATTGATAAAATGGAAGCTCAATTCTTTCATTTTTTTTGAAGATAATCGGAGTTGGATTCATAGCTATAGCGGAAATCAGAAAGGCTTTTATTGTTTCCGAAGCTGGGGTACAATCATGAAATTGAATTATCGGCATCTCCAGTTGTTCGTGTATTTTGTTTCAAACCAAATACCGTTTGTTGCACCGGAATCGACAAGCAAAGGGTGCACCAGTTTGTTGTCGCCGTTCTAGCTATTAGTCACTGGAGGATTACAAAAGGCAAAGGTATTATGTATGTCGATGAAGTTATAAAGAAAAAATAGGGCAAGAAATCAAAATAGAAATAGGATGCTATAGTTACAGATAAAATGAAGTTTTAAGAAAGTAAGCTATATTTTTAAAGTTTTACTAATTATAGCAATTGTCTTTTTGAAGATAATCTATATGATTAAAAATTCTACCCCCAATCCAAGATTCTATTTACCTCTTAACACATGGAACCAACAGTGAAGTAGGTTACTAACTACATAATATTGTAATGAGTTATTCAGTTACTTTTTTATTAAAAAGTCTTGTTTCACCACCATACTTTTCAAGAATGTGATTACTCCTTATCAAATAGTTTTGAAGCTAAATATAAGCATAAAGTTAATGAATTCTGATCAGATGTGAGAATCTAGTAAAAAAAAGGAGAAATGTCACCAAATTTAACTATTTTTGACTGCTGATGCTACTTTCTGGCAACTTGTTGAGTTTGTGGTATAAAACATTTATGGTGATGGCTTTTTTTGCCAACTACATATTATGGCAAATTGGATCCTCGTACAGGGAAACTTTATCTAAAAGGTTAGTACCCTGAAATAGAACAACTTTTATAGCATTCAACAAATATTCACTAAGGAGATTGCACCCCGTTTGAGCAGATTAAGCAAATCCTCAAATCCTATAAAATAATATGAAAGTAGAATGATATTGTAGGTAAAATATGAAAGTAAGATATTGTAAAATAAAATGACAGTATAAACAAATAATTGAGAGGTTTGAGCTATTTATAATTATTGAAGGTTAACTTCTAAAGCATATTGCTATTTGATGCATTTAACACCAAAACATGGATAAATAAATAGCAATGTACTTTGGTTTTTTGATAAAAAAATAAAAACAAATAGCATCAACCAGAAACAAATAGATATAAACTCAGAAAATGCAATAAACATAAAATATTTATAAAGTAAAAAAAATATGTATGAATTCAAAAAACGCAACAAATATAAAATATGTATAATGTAAAAAAAATAACATCAACGAGAAATAAATAGATATGAATTTAGAGTACTTTTAAACATTTTGGGAAATAGCAACATACTTTTTATAGATTATTCAAAATAGGATGCCTTAATGTGACCATTTTAAGAGTACACTGCCATATTTTGGCTTCAAAATTATTTTAAAAAAGAAACATTTTAGTATTCTAAAGTTCATTGCTATTAAAAGTGCATTTTCAAAAGTAGGATGTTATTATAGTTGTATTATTTGGTTAAAAATGATCCATGTAACAGAAAAAACATTACAAAACTGGATAAAAAGTTTTTTTTTTTTAAAACACAGCCAGATAATAAGATCCTTCGATATCACATAAAAAAACCCACACACACACACATTATGTAGTAAAACAACGTCAATAAAAGCAAAAAAGGGAAATTTTAGTACACTAACCCGATGAATCGAAGTTATGTGAAGCAAAAAGATATTTCTTTTATGTGTAGAGGCTCGATGAGTTGAAAAATAATGAGTATTATTTTATCCTGAGATTAGGTTGGTAGAATACGGAGGTCCTCTTTGTAGAATTCAAGAATCAGGAATCCGGAGGTGCTCTATAAATTGTTACAGGGGAAGACTTTTATAACTGGGCTAAAATGATGTGAGTACGCAATAATAAGGAATAAGAAATAAAAAATTGATCGTATACTAATTTGAATATACATGATTTTAGCCTATAAATTAGAAATTGTAATCGTATCATTAATGATTGAAAGGTTCTGCATATAATCAACATAAATTCCGTATAAATTTAAATTGGATTGAGCCAAGTAATCTTATTATTTGAAATTCTAGCAATAGATGTAATTTTAAATTTAAATGTATATACGTTTTCTATGAGATAATTATGTAAGTATAAATTTGGTAGCTTATGAGCTCCTTTTTTGTAGGAATTTCGGAAATATTAATATTAATTAACCTAAAACCATTGCTGATTTTATGGTTTTGATTGCAGGTATTTTAGGATATAAGATAATATCCTTCAAATAAGGAAAACTGAAATGCTGATATGTAGGAATTGAATGTCGATTGATGCAGTGATTTAGTGGGCGGGAAAAGTAGAGAGTATAAGGTTGGAGAGAATGCCACGTGGCAGAAGGGTGGTCTAAGAGATTGACACGTGGCATCTAGGAGAGGCTTTTATTAAGCATGGAGATTAGGATAGGGGATATAGACACTAATGTCATGTGCGATAACCAGTGTTATCTTAATTATCTTCAAAATAAGTTATAGTTTTGGTCCTTATGGTTTACATGCTTCTGCACGCATACTAAAAAATATTGAACTTTTGACACATTTCATTCTTATAGTTTCTATAACTTGCACCAATGATCCCTAAGACTAACTCCGTGTGAAATGCTTAAATGCATGTTAAAATATATATATATATATATATATATATATATATATATATATATATATTATATATATATATATATATATATATATATATATAAAGGATCAAATGAGAACACCTAAAAGATTGAGAACGCGAGAACAACTATATTCATTTGTGATTCCATGTATTCATTTGTGGAGAAATGATAAATTTTTTACGCACAATCAACATGAATATGCATTTTCTCTTCAATTGAAATTAAAGGCGTAAAAATTTATTATTTCTCCACAAATGAATACATGGAATCGCAAATGAATATACTTTGTTCTCGCGTTCTCAACCTTTTTGGTGTTCTCATTTGATCCTACTCCTATATATATATATATATATATATATATATATATATATATATATATATATATATATATATAATATATATATATATATATATATATATATATATATATATATTTCTTATTTTTTTATTTTCATCTTAATTTTTAAATAAAAGAACCACAAATCACCACCAACACATTACCCCACCATCAGACTGTCATCGAAAAACCAACCCCCACATCACAACCATCATCTATATGCCTCCAAAAAACCAACCATACACACTACGGCAATTACCCACCTCCTTTCGAAAAACCATCGACCAACCACTAACCACAAGTACCATGTCACTAGAAAATCAACACCACTACATCAAACCTACCACCATCATCAATACAAATAACCAATCACAATCATCAGCACCACCACCATGACCAATCACCACCAACCACCACCTTACCAAATCATTTTTAACGTCAAATTCGAAGTGTAGTGTATTGAAGATTATTATCGGTTGTAAAGGCCATATCAAATTTGTCGAATGGCGGCCATCTATTTAAATTGAACGAAAAAGGATTTTTTAAGTGAAAGAGAAGCAATTTCCCCAAAAATGCATCCTTCCCCGATTCCATAAATAACGACATATGATGAGGAATCACAATCGATGCAACAATCATTTGTAAAGGAGAGCGAGGGTGGCATCTCTAGGGTAAATCCAAATATAATCTAGGTCCACTAAAAGACTCGAGAATACTACTTATGCTGCTTCAGTTAGGTGCGTTGATTTGGATGCGGGTATAACGAGTTGCATAATATTCTCGCTATCACCACCTAATTGTTTCTTCGAATGTATGACAAGATGAGATCAAAAGAAGGCGACCATGGTTGGAGACGGCGTGAAACAAAAGAGGAATATACCAAAACCGCTTTGAGCCACAAGGTCGGCCAAGAATTATAGGTTTATTTTTAAAATTTACAGTCCCTGAAAATAAAATAAATGTCAGATTTCGTTAAAGAAAAAACAATGACATTTTTTTTCGATTTACAAGCAATTAACGTTGGAGTATTAACGATAATAGCCTAAGGAACCTTGGTTGCAACTTTTGAAAACAATCGGGATGAGTTCTGTAGAAAATTCAAAACTTAAACAATAAGTAAATATGAGTAAACTATAGAGACCAAAATTAATATATATATATATATATATATATATATATATATATATATATATATATATATATGCAAATAAAGAAAATGTTGGGAATGGAAAAAAAATATTAACAACCTTGGATAAAATTTGTCCAAGGTAATCGCGTGTCGTCTTTTTAATCATGATCGTTGATTGATTTGGTCCGATGATTACGATATGTCTTAAAAAACACAGAAACAGACGTTCAGAACATTATCATCCATTATATCATTTGAAGACAAATAGACATATGGTTTTCAACGTACTTACATATATAACCTCACTACAATAAACCTAATCTACTCTCTGTTTATCACTCAACCTAATCTACAAGAATAATCAAGAACAACAATGAAACACGAAACCCTAATTCTATACAGGAAGAGAGAATGAGAGAATAGTCGTCTGATAGAGTGTAGAGAGGAAAAATGAATCGATTCAAGCTGCAACGAACCAACTACACCTTTAAGTACCCGAGTAAACAGATCTCCTCAACCTGCATGTCAACCCGAACACAAATAAGAAGAAAGTACATCGCAACCCACAAGAATCAACCACAATACACAAACTACCCACATCACAATAAATAACAAAACCAACAATAAATAAACTTACATTTTCAACCCTGCAAGAACAAAGAATGTTAACCTTATATACTAAAACATATTTTTAACACCCCTCCTGAAACTTAACATTCAAAAACAAAATGTTAACCACTACTAAAAGGAGTAACCACACCAATTTCATTTACTCAAAATTATGTTGCACAGAATTTAAAAACTTAGTTAAAATATCAGCTCTTTCTTTTGAAGAATTTATTTTCTCAACTTTCAAAACTCCATTAGCAATTTTTTTCTCTAACAAAATGCAGGTCAACCTCAATGTGCTTTGTTTTCTCATAGAAAACTGGATTCAAAGCAAGCTTTATAGCTGACTCATTATCACAGAAAACTTT